ATTCTTTTTTTTTTATTTTTATTTATTTATGATAGTCACACACAGAGAGAGACAGAGAGAGAGAGGCAGAGACACAGGCAGAGGGAGAAGCAGGCTCCATGCACCGGGAGCCCGACGTGGGATTCGATCCCGGGTCTCCAGGATTGCGCCTTGGGCCAAAGGCATGCGCTAAACCGCTGCGCTACCCAGGGATCCCCTCATTTGCTGAAATTCTATTATGGCTTAATTTCCTCTAAAAGAAATTGTGCAGAAACATTCTTGTCTAAAAAAAACAAAAACAATGGGCTGCCTGGGTGGCTTAGTGGCTTAGTTGGTTAAGTGTCTGCATTCAGCTTAGGTCATGGTCCCAAAGGCCCCTCATTGGGCTCCTTGCTCAGTGGAGACCCTGCTTCTCCCTCTCCCTCTGCCCCACCCCCTGCTTGTGCACACGCGCGTGGGGGCTCTCTCTCTCTCTCTCTCTCTCTCTCTCTCACACACGAGTAAATAAAATCTTTAAAAAAAGAAACAATAATTCACCATTTGTACTGTACAATTTGCAGTACTAAAAGTGGCCAGAAAATTTAAAGATCTTTGAAAACCATTCAGAGAGTGGAATACATAAATAGACATATGATACAATTACCTAATCTTATGTTATTGTTCTTTTTAAAACTCAGTAACATGGGATCCCTGGGTGGCGCAGCGGTTTGGCGCCTGCCTTTGGCCCAGGGCGCGATCCTGGAGACCCGGGATCGAATCCCACATCGGGCTACTGATGCATGGAGCCTGCTTCTCCCTCTGCCTATGTCTCTGCCTCTCTCTCTCTCTGTGACTATCATAAATAAATTAAAAAAAAATTAAAACTCAGTAACATTTTAAAGTACTGTTTTTCCAGGATATTAAATTTAGAAACAGTTGAAACAAAGCACTGGGGGGGTTTCTTGCACTTGTATTTCAGTTATTTTCAGTATATTATACATAATAAATAAACAAAATAAAGATACTCTCTCTTTTGGCAAATAACCATATAGAACAGAATTGCCAATATGGCAAATCATTGCCCACATATCTTCCACGTACGATGCATATTGACTAGTAAGCTTTTTGAAACAAATGGAGCCAATGAATGAATTTAACAAACAGGTCAGGTAAAGGCAAGTCAATGGATATTTTACTGAATGTTTGTAAATGAGGGAGAAAATGTGTCTTGTAGATTCTCACGAATTTAAACGTTCATTCCCTTGGGTTAGGAGGTTGGAGGGAGGAGTGGCTAAGTGTGTCAGATGGAACTGTTAAAAAAAGAAACAAGAGGCCCCAAAGGGAGTCACATGCCCTAAGCCCATGTCATCAAACTAGGACTTAATACCTAACTTAATCATGATTTCAACTTCTCACACTTGTGGAACCTTAAAGCACACAATCTGGAATTACCTCATCAGCACCAGTGAGGCCCAACAGACTTGTGCTCCCCAAAGGAAAATGATCTTGCCTGAAACAATCTACTCCTTGCTAGTAACTTCCTTGTCCCACCCCTTCTGCCTATAAAAGTTTTCCATTTTGTATAGCTCCTTGGGGCTCCTTTCTATTTACTGGATGGGACGCTGTCAGATTCATGAATTGCTGAGTAAAGCCAATTAGATCTTTAAAACTTACTCAGTTGAATTTTGTTATTTAACAGAGCAAAACCTTAAATGTACACAGAGATGAATTTGTTTAACATTTTATAAATCCATTTGCAATTGAAATCAGACATTTAAGAAATTATGAGTGGAATGAAATACATAATAGACTGGAACTGTGAAGCAAAAGAAAGGGAAAGGGAAAAGTGTAGGCCTAAATTGAACATGAAATCATAGAATGAATTGAAGTAATGACAGTCAGTAGATGTAATGTGGAAATTAATGGTTTATTTGATTCAGAGAGCACATAATGATGTTATCAGATTTGGGTCCTTGTACCCAGAGATGGTAGAAATGAGACTGTGTCCACAATTTAAAAGCAGAGTCAAGGCTTTATTGGGGCACCAGCTGCAGTTGAAGGGAGACACAGTCACGAAAATGTGTCACATTGGCTCCTGGAAAAATAGGCAGGGAAAGTTTTAAAGGACCCGAGGCGGGAAAGGAGTGACGGCTAAGCATGTAGGGTGGGGAAATACAGGGAATTGGGAGCGAGTGCAAGCACAGTTGACAGAACGTGCTTCCTTTTATTTTTTTTTTTAAGATTTTATTTATTTATTCACGAGATACACAGAGAGAGAGGCAGAGACATAGAGGGAGAAGCGGGCTCCTCGCAGGGAGCCAGATGTGGGCCTTGATCCTCGGACCCAGGATGGCACCCTGAGCCAAAGGCTGACGCTCAACCGCTCAGTCACCCAGGCATCCCAGAACATGCTTCTTTATACACGTATGTTTCTTTTTTTTTTTTTACACGTATGTTTCTTTTGTGTGTCAAGTCTCCACCTCTGGCAATGATGTTTAGCATTGTAATGAGGGGGAAAGTTCGTGAAAGGTCAAATTTGGCAGCCATCACATCTCATACTAGTTTGAACAGGTCTGGGATTGCTCTTTGGCTGTTGCTTTGCTCTGCAGGAACAATGATAACAGCTGGCAGGAGATGTCCTGGGTGCTTGCCTCCAGAACTCCCGCTAGGCCAGGGTCTCAGAGGTTCACAGAAGGCCCCTCACTGGCGTTGCTTCTGGCCACAGGCCCTCTGTGGCACTCCGCAGACACACCCTCCCTTCCCCTTTGCTGAGGGCCTCCACTCATCTTTTCATGGGGACCTAATGCTGATGGGCTCTCTTGAGGATCATTTCATTTTAACAGCCTGCAAACCATACAGTGTGCAGAGACTATTCCACTTTTCAAAGGAGGGATCTAGCTCTCAGAGAGGGCAAGGGACTTCCACAGGGCTGCACAGCTGCTACGTCCCTGAGCTGGGGACGGTCAGCCTACACCATGCTGGACCCTCTCACCCTGTTCGCCTCTGTTCTCCATTGGAAATTGCCCAGGACTGGGGCCAAGACACTCAGACACCTCACCTGCCAGACTGTCCATGGAGCCTGACCCACCAAGTAACCCTACCCTGACATCTCCACCTGAGACTCTCCGGGTCATAAGTGTCACTGTAGACCATCCTGTCCCCTCACCACCATTGGCAATAATTCCTCCCCACGGAGGGAGGAAGCCTAAATATGGCTTCTAGGTGGCCGCTCCACCTTGTGCCCCCATACTGAGCTGTCACCCAGTTATCACTGTCACTATTATGGGTGCTGGGTGGCCCTGAAGAACTGAGAGCAGACACTGAGGCCTTCACATATCCCTGCCCACAGCTCTTGCAGGAGACCTTAGCGCTTACAGTTCTCCCTCACCATTGTTGGTAAATTGCAAATTGTCTAAACAGTGGCTGCCAACCCGCTAGAAAGTTCCCATCCCTCCTGTAAAGCCTGTAAACCTCCCACCTTCCTCTCCCAACTAGACTGAGGCTTCTTAGCCCTGGGGGCAAGCATTAACCTGTAATGAATTCTGGGCCCCAGCTGTTTTTTTCCCCACCACCTGTAAGTCTTCAAACCTGTGTGAGCCTCCGGGCTGTACCAAGGTGTGCACCCAACTTTCTGTTCTGACTCCCACCAGCGCGTCATCAAATATGCAGAGATGGGATAGGTTGTTTTCTCTAAGCTAGACTATCTCTACACCCATCCCCCTCATCACACTTGGTCTGTGGGGACTACACAATTCTGTGTTGTTTGGGTGTCCCCATGACATGCCTGTCTCATGAGTCTCTGAGTATTTGTGCATTTATGTTGCCAGGCTTGGTGAGGTCTGGAAGGGTCCCCAGCACAGGAGCTTCTGTCCCATGGAGTTGGGGGTGTGCCTCCCTCCTGGCACGTGGGTGTTCACCAAGTTCTCCAAACTCTGTGGTATGATTGATCATTAACTCAATCTCTAGCTCCCCTCCACTGTGGATAGGGATGAACGTCCTAAGCGTCTACTCATGGATTAGTCTTTCTGGAGACCAGCCCCCATCCTGAAGCTACCCGGGAGTTGCCTCACTGAAACAAAAGACACTCCTATCACCCAGGAAATTCCAAGTGATTTTGGGGTTCTGTATCAGGCACCAAGGTCAAAGACCAAATATTAGAACAAAAGATGCTTCTAGTGCTCTCATCACTTAAGAAGTTACAAGGGTTTTAGGGGCTCTGTGCCTGGAACTAGGGACAGAGACCCACATATATATTTTCTGTTATTTCACAACCTGCCTCACAGAGGTCTTTCCAAACAAAAGGTTTCCCTTGTACCAAGAGGTATGTGCAAGAATATTCACAATAGTAAACACCTGGAGACAGCCCAGGAAAGAGGATGGATCAGTGGGCCTCTCCACACAGTGGAGCATTGTCTGCAGCCCCATAGTCCTCTGCACTATGAAATGTAGTGAGAGAAATGTCACAATATACCTCACAGAATACCCCCTTCCATGATTGAAGCCATTTTCACATGGTACCTTCTAGTTTCTCAATGTGATTGAGTCCCAGTTTCCTAGTGGAAACCAGCTCACAAATATATTCCAAGTAACCAACATAAGTGCTTTTGCCTCAGCTGTGCACAGCATCTTTTTATTTCCTCCAAAGTGCCCTTTCAAACTAGTTCTGCAAATGAGCTCCTCATCCCCCCCCACCCCCACCCCCACCCCATACCTGCCATCTCTGGAAGAAATGAACGGAAAGCATTTGACCTTTTTTGGTATTTATTTGTCAATAAAATAGCATTCTCAAACTTTCAATCACCAATCATATCAGATGAAGTTTAGCCATTAATATATCAAGTGAATTAAAGAAATATAACATTTGAATATAGAAGTTCCCTTTTATAGACTAAGGCCTATTTCTGGGTTTGTGCCCCTGCTCTGCCCCAGTAAAGATAAAGTGTGTGGACAGAGGCAGGGGAGCAGGAGGGAAAGCATCACTTGACCACTGGAAGCTGGTGTTTGTGTCCTGGAGTTGAACTTTCATGGATTTTAAGGAATAAACACCAACATTACACATTCATCCATTTATTCAGCAGGTTATTTGAATTTTTTGTCAGCCACTTTTCTGGGCACCTGAGATACACTCCAGTGAACGAACAGAAATTCCTCCTTAAACTTACATTTTAGTGAAGAAAATAAATGGAAAATATAATCAGGAAATTATATGTTCTAAATAGGGAGGTGCTATGGAAATATACGTATTTCCATACATATTCACATAGCATTACACTGAGGCTACAGCTGAGGAAGCTTCTGATGTGGAAGGAGTACCTTTGACGGCAATTTTCTGGTGAGTCCTCAGGTGGCGGTGGTAGGTGGATGACTGGCGGTAGCTTCTCTGGCAAAGCGCACATACATAGGGCTTCTCACCCGTGTGGATTCTCTCATGGGCCAGAAGGTTGGTTTTGTGGCTGAAGGATTTTTCACATGTGCTGCACCTGAAAGGCTTCTCTTCTGTGTGAATCTTCTGATGCACGTGTAGGTCTGACGCTTGGAAGAAGCCTTTGTTACACTCAGCACAAATGAATGTCCTCTCATTGTTGTGTCTTCTCTGATGGGCTTTTAGCTGAGAGAAATACCTAAAGATCCTGGGACATTTTTCACATCTGTAGGAGTTTTGGGCATCACGGAATCTTTCTTGGGGTCCCCTACATGTGGAATTCCCCTCGGTTTTTTGGTGGGTAGAAACAGGGTCAGGGGTGACTGGGGTTGACCGAGAGTGAAACCCTGGTGCCCCCTCCATCAGGACATCTTGATATGGGCGTCCTTGCAGGGACCCTTCCTGGGACTTGGACGTACCTAGACCCGCTCTTCCAGGGCTGAGCAGATTCTTCAAAGAAACACTGTCCTCTTCAGGCTGAGGACAGTCCTCCTCATGGACAATGAACAGGGAAGGTATTGCATTGCCTTGACTAGTAATACCGTCATTGTGATAAATGTTGTCGCCATTTGCTTTATCTCCTGTGGGGGATAAAACGACTCAGTGAAGTTGTACCCAAGAAGGGAGTCCACACACAACATCCCTCTGGTACCTTGGCTTACCCCCACTCACCTTGTCCTGTTTCCAGGGAAGTATCTTGGGAAGTCCAGGAGGGTGTCCCCATGTTCTCTTCTGTTGGGGTTCCTGCTGACAATTGTTTCATGAAATGAACGATGACTTCTCTTAAGGGCATATTCTCAGAAAAGAGGGCTTCCTGACCCTTCATGTGGACGTGGACCTGTTATTAAAAAAAAACTGTAATATATTCTTTTTTAAAAAAAGTTTTTACTTATTTATTCATGAGAGAGAGACAAAGGCAGAGACAGGCAGTGCTAGAAGCAGGCTCCATGAAGGGAGCCCGATGTGGGACTTGATACCAGTATTCCAGAATCATGCCCTGGGCCGAAGGCAGGCGCTACAGAGCTGAGCCACCCAGGGATGCCCTATGTATTCTTTATTGATGTGTCTTCCCTAATAAAAAAGATGAATGCTAAGACTTTGAGGGAAGATCCAGCCCTTGCCAAGGTGTTTCTCCTCATCCTTGAGGTTTTGCCCAACTGACAACTTCTTGCTGAGTTTCTGTACCACCTCTCCAATGAAACTCAATGAAATAAATTAATATATTGGTTCCTATTATGTCCCACTGAAAGAATGACTATAACCCCTTATTTTTACTCACTTAGGTTCCTAAGTTTTCCCTCGGTGAGGAGCAGTGATCTGACAACTGCATCTATAATAACTTATTTTCCTACTTCCAGGTATCTCCTACTGACTGCTTATTCCTGACTCTTTTTGGCCCCTCCCTCTAGGGGAAAAGAATCTTCTACTCACTAAGCCAGGTGGCTTCACAGAACTATCACTCAGATCTTCCATGAATTTCTCCAGGTTCCTGCCACATGATTCCCATTTATTCTTCAAAGTAGACCGGTCACTGCAATGTCTATTGATCATAAACTGTTCCAAGACCACTTGAAAAATAATTTCATCCTTGCTGTGTTTTTCTGGCTGCAGCCAGAAGTAAAATGATTTATAGAGTCTTTGCAGTTCCTGCTTTGCATGTGAGTTGTTGCCATTTTGAAATAAACTGTTCTGAGTGTCCTTGAACTCAGAAATCTCCTCTGCCTCTTGGAGAGCGGGTCTTTGGCTGGGCTTAAAGTCTTTATTTTTTGACGGGGGATCATCCATGGATGGTTCACACAGAAATAAATCCAATCTTAGTAATATTTATCAGAGATGCAAATTCCTGGATGCAGTTTGTGAAGTCCTCTGTTTCTGGAGATCTGTTTCAAAACAAAATCAGGGAATCCATTTGATATTTCTGTTCTTATTTTACTATTTAGATAACAGATGTTGCATAGAGTTGATAGTGGTGGATGCTTAAAAACTATAAACTACAAAGAAGAAATATTTAATTATATCACTGGAATAATTTTAAAAAGCAAAAAGTAAATATAAATGTCAGATCCATATAACTTCATAGGTGAATTTTATGAGACATTTAAGACAGACATAATGCTAGTCTTAGATGAGCATATAAAAAGACACTCCTCTTTTAGTTAATGAGGTTAATTAATTAACCAACCTTACGGATAAACCTTACTAGTACATTAAATACTAGCCAATAATTCTTTTTTTTTAAGATTTTTATTTATTTATTCATGAGAGAGAGAGAGAGAGGCAGAGACACAGGGAGAGGGAGAAACAGGCTCCACGCAGAGAGCCTGATGTGGGACCTGATTCTGGTCTCCAGGATCACGCCCTGGGCCAAAGGCAGGTACTTAACTGCTGAGCCACTCGGGCTGCCCTAGCCAATAATTCTTATAAGCATAGATATCTGAAAATCAAACTCAGTCATATATAAGGAAAGTAATACTTCATGAATAGGTGGATTTTATCTTCTATATACAATTTGGGTTAAATCTCAAAAAGCAGTGTAATTTATCACATTACTGAATTTAAAGAATATGCTTTCATCTTAATAGTAGGTATATTTAAAAAGCTTAATAAGAAATCAGTGCTCAATTTTGAGAAAGGTATTTAGTAAACCAGGAGTAGAGAGGAGCTTCCATTGTGTAATAAGGCATTCACAAAATGACTATAGAAAAATTCTTAGGGCACCTCGGTGGCTCAGTTCCTTAAGGGTCTGCCTTCAGCTCAGGTCATGATCCCAGGGTCCTGGGATGGAGCCCCACAGACTTCCTGCTCAGTGGAGACCCTGCTTCTCCCTTTTCCCCTGCTGCTTCCCCTGCTTGTGCTCTCTCACTGTTACGTAAACAAATAAAATCTTAAAAAAAAAAGAAAAAGAAGTCTTAAAAATTTTGCTCTTGGGATTTGGGTTTTTCCCATAATTTGGCTATAATACCGAATCAGTATTTTTGTATCCTTTGGGTGAATACCTAGTAGTACAATTGCTGGATCAGAGGATAGTTCTATTTTTAACTTTATGAGGAGCCTCGGTAGTATCTTCCAGAGTGGCTACATCAGTTTGCATTCCCACCAGCAGTGTGAGAGGGTTCCTTTTTTCCGCATCCTTGCCAATACCTGTTTCCTGTGTTTTTTTCCTTAAAGATTTATTTATTTATTCATTAGAGATACAAAGAGAGAGGCAGAGACACAGGCAGAGGGAGAAGCAGGTTCCATGCAGGGAGCCCAATGCAGGACTTGATCCCAGATCCCGGAAGGCAGATGCTCAACCACTGAGCCACCCAGGCATCCCTGAATGCTAAGGTCTTAATCACAGTGCTCCACAGCAGTGTCCCTGTGGGATTGAGTAATTGTCTGCAAGTGTGACCATGCGGTCTATTTGTGCCTGGGGTGGTCTTGAAAAAGAGAACTTGTGGGGAGGCCCAGATGAAGAGATCTGCAGAGGAAAAATAAGGCCAGTGTACCTGGATATAGAGAACCAGCCATGACACCTAAGAATAGAGGGATTAGATGACCCAGGTAAGGACTCATGAGACCAGGAAGGACTCAGTAGTTTTTCCTGAGGGCAAGGGAATGTAAAAATGGCATGTGACAAGATTAGCATTATACTAAAGTCATCTGGATTAGGAAAAGGAAAATATGTATTCCATTTTCTTCTGTGTGGTTCTTCTGGACTAATCTTTATTTCATCTATAGATGGGATCAACATGATTAATCCTATCAGACTACCAGATGAGATATTTGGTAATTGACATTTTTAATCTCTACTCCATGGGGCTCAAATTCAACCCTGAGATCAAGAGTCACACAGTCTACTGACTGAACCAGCCAGGTGCCCCTAGTATGAAATTTTTAATAAAATAAATACAGATCTGTGAATTACTTACCATCTAAGATTAAAAAGGACACAAATATAGACAGATTACATAGAAAATAGATTTAGTGCCTGGGTGGTTTAGTCAATTAAGTATCTGCCTTCAGCTCAGGTCATGATCCCAGGGTTCTGGGATTGAGCCCCGTGTTGGGCTCCCTGCTCAGTGGGGAGTCTGCTTCTCCCTCTCCCTGTGCTGCTCCCCTTGCTTATTTTCTCTTGCTCTCTGTCAAATAAAATCTTTAAAAAAATAGATTTAGTTTTTTTAATTGGGATATAATTGGCATTCCACATTATTAGTTTCAGGAGTACAACATAATTCACTATTTGTTTATATTGTGAAATGATCACAATAAATCTAGTTAATATCACCATACATAATTACATATTTTTTCTTGTGATGAGAACTTTGTTAGCTTTTTGTTTTTAAAGTTTTATTTATTGAAGTAATCTCTATGCCTACACCCAACATGGAGCTCGACCTCATGACCCCAAGATCAAGAGTCACACACTTTTCTGACTAAGCCTACCAGGCACCCCTGTGATGAGAACTTATAAGATTTACTCTTAGCAAGTTCCAAATATGCAATATAATATTATTAACTATAGTCACCATGCTGTAGATTACATCTCCATGACTTATTTATAGCTGAAAGTTTATAACTTTTGACCCACTTCAATTTTGCCACCCCTCACCTCCTGCTTTTGGCAACCACCAATCTCATTATTTATGAATTAAGGTTTTTGTTTTAAGATTCCACATTTAGTGATGCCTGAGTGGTTCAGTGTTTGAGTCTGCCTTTCGCTCAGGGCATGATCCCGGGTCCGGGATAGAGTTCCGCATCAGGCTCCCTTCTCTGCCTGTGTCTCTGCCTCTTCCTCTGTCTCTCATGAATAAAAAAGACCTTGGCATTCAAAAATCAGACTGCCAGGTTCCAGTGTGAAACAAGCTGTTTGGCCCAGGCAGGTTACCCATGAGGTCCCCATCTGTCACAGAATTCTTTTTTTAAAAAAATATCTTATTTATTTATTAATGAGAGGCAGAGAGAGAGAGGCAGAGAGAGAAGCAGGCTTCATGCAGGGAGCCCAAAGCAGGACTCGATCCCCAGACTGCAGGATCATGCCCTGGGCGGAAGGCAGGCGCTAAACACTGTCCTGAGCCACCCGGGCTGCCCTGCATAGAATTCTTAAAAACACCCTGCTGTTAGGGTTGTTACTGGAACTCAATGAGTTAATATATGTAAACACAGGGACAGGCCGTAGCATAAGGTAGCCACTTAGTAAGGGTATGCTAAATAGCTGATACTTATCCTTTGAATCTTAGCCCCCCAACCACACCCCAATCCACTCAGGACCAACACTTTTAACAAGATGCCATAAAAATGTCTCACTAGAAGCAAAATTAACAAGACAACAGAGCCATACATAAATGCTTTCGATGGGAGAACTCTTTCAACCAGGCCAGGCTTTTATAAAGCCCACAACATTGATCTCTACTGAGCCAGAGCATCTATAAAAACAGACCATCCCCAATAGAGTAGAGATGTAGGTGAGATGGGATGAGAAGTGCCACAGCAATCCCCTGGCTAAATACAGACCAGCCCATCAGGCAACCCACCTCAAATTATCCATAGGCCCTAACTAATCAGTGAGCTACTATAACCAGGTACAGTTTACCAAAAAATGGAAAATTCTATGTCACCATACCTCCTCACCTTCCCTCTTTAAAAGCAGCCCCCATGGGCAGCCCCGGTGGCGCAGCGGTTTAGCGCCGTCTGCAGCCCAGGGCGTGGTCATGGAGACCCTGGATCGAGACCCTGGATCAAGTCCCACATCAGGCTCTCTGTATGGTGCCTGCTTCTCCCTCTGCCTGTGTCTGAACCTCTCTCTCTCTGTCTCTATGAATAAATAAAGTCTTTTAAAAAAATAAAAATAAAAGCTGCCCCCACCCATTGCTTCATTGCAAGCAGTCGCTCCTCTGCTGTCCTGCCTGCTGCTCCCTTGCATGTATTCAATAAACTTCTATCACCTTTGTTCTGCCTCAGGTGGATCCGCTCATCTCCCATCCCACCAATTTCCACTGATCTGGTCACCCTACATTTGGGGGGCGCCCATCCAGTCGGAAGAAACACCACACCTAACTGAACAAGCCCCGTATTTTTGTAACTAGGCGTTTTCCCCCAATGATCATCCCACACACATGCATAAAACACAAGCACAAAACTGGAAATTTTGCTTTCATTCTGGAAACTCACCTACTCAGGAAGACTGAACTTCAAACTGGTCAATCCTGGGCTGAAAACTAAGTTTCTGTGAAACTCACTCTCTGCACTAGTTCTGCCTTCTTAAGACTCATCCCTTTTATAGGGTGTGGGGTCAATGAAGCATTTACAGTCGTGATTGGATAAGATTATCCTGTTGATGGGATCTCTGATGGAATCTTCATCTTGCTCTAGCTCCAGTTCTCCAATACATTATTAGATAACATCCTTGCGATTGGAACAATTGGCCACAATCAAATACACTAATATTTCTGCAGTGAGATGTAACAATACTTACACTAAAGGAGAATACAAAAATTACCATTAGTATCACATAAATTCTGGCCAAGTTTGGTCTAAAGTGAGTCTCACACAAATTTGCTATTACTTCCTAATTTTCTGAGATTTGTGGATTGCACGAGCAGCGGAGAACAAGGCTAATGTTCTCTTTTACTATTCAGTCCCAGTTGGTGAATCAGAGGATGCCTCAGTGTGGAGGCCAAAAAAAATTAAGGCCATTCCACCTCAAGTAGCATTAGCACAAGTACAGCCATCTTGGCCCCTGTGAATAAGAGCTGAACTTTACAGGAAAAACTGCAGAATGTCCTCGGCAGGGAATCCCACATCAGAAAGACAACAGAGCTCAGAATTGCCCTCGGCAGAGAATCCCATATCAGAAAGACAACAGAGCCCACGCTGTGGTAGAAAGTTCCATGTTAGGATGAGAACAGAACTCAATGCCCTTAAGCCCCATATCAGAATGTAAACAGAACTTGAGAAATTCCTCCACCCCTTCTGTAAATCCTCTAGACCAGCCTATAAAAAACCCAGCTGTAACCCACTTCGGGGTCCAAGTCCCTGCTCCGCTGTGTCAGGTATACTTGGACCCAAGCTCGAGCTTGCTAATAAACCCTCGTGCGCTTGCATCGGTGTTGGCTCCTTGGTGGTTTCTCAGATTCTCAATCTTGGGCACAACAGAATGTTGGTAAGGTCTGGAGCTGGTGCCAAGAAAGAATTCTTAAGACATCTTTGGTGCAAAAAAAAAAAAAAAGTGATTTTATTAAAACACAGGGACAGGACCCGAGGGCAGAAAGATTAGCTGAACTGGGCTTTGTGAGGAATGGATGATTATATACTTGGAAGTCCAGGAGTTAAAGAAAAAGGGAGGTGTCCAAAAGGATTTTCATATGCTAAAGAAGACCCTCAGGATACTAGAGATGGAAATCATCAAGCTAAGGTGATTTTTTACTCTAGCGGAGCATTAAGACAGTTGGGATTTTCCTGGCGGAATGTCACACATATCCCACTAAGGAGTGGGGGGTGGTTGCTGAGTGTCAGCCTGTGCTTTGTCCTCAGCTTGCCTTCTGCTCCCTCATCAATAAAGTAAGAAGATTGGGACCCAAAAAAAGGAAGGAAAATTGAGATGATTCTGACAAAGAAGGTCCATCTGTGGAGGGAACAGCGGTCCTGTGACAGGAAGGCCAGGATGTTCTCAGGCTTCAGAACCCTCAAGTGTGTGATAGGAGATGGTGGAAGAAGTTCAGGGACCACACAGGAAGACATGTGGTGGGTGAGGCAGGGGGGTGAGGTGGGTGAGAAGGGGGCAGGCAGGGGTCTGGTTTCTAGCTGGGAAAATCTGTTTGCATGTTTGAGCTCTGAATTGCCCAAACTCCATCCAAAATATCATCTTGACTCTAGTGAAATTAGGATGATCTCTCTTCCTTCCTATTTCCTCCTTCCCTCTGTCTCCCCCTTCCAGACCCACACCCACAGCCACCCACACATATACATACATATAATTATCTTTCTCTGTCTCTTCATCTATATCCTATCATTTTTCCTACCATTCTTTTATCCTAGTGTGTCGATTAAGACATTTTTACAATCTTCACAATTTCATTCCTCAACTCTATCATTTGCTTTTTTTTATACATATGTCATATTATGTGCAAATATATTTTTTAATTTAATTTACATTTTTGCATTTGTATTGAGGTATAAATGACACACATGTAATTGTTTATACTGTTCAATTTGGCATAGTTATATGTATACACCTGCAAAAATTCCTTTATAATTAAGATAACAAACATCCACTACCCTAAAAAACCTCCCCAACACTTCCTTTCTAGGCAATAAATGATCCACTTTCTGTCACTATAAATTATTTTTCATTTTCTATGACCTGTATATAAATGGAATAAAACCATATGTACTCCTTTTTGCCTGGCTTTGTTCACTCAGAATAATTATCTTGGAATTCATCCATGCTGCTATTTATATCAGCAGCTCATTCCCTTTTATTGGTGAATAATATTCCATTTTATTAATATACTACATTTTGTTTACCCCTTCACTATTTTATGGACATTGGATTGTTTTAACTTTTTGATTATTATCAATAATATTGCTATGAACATCCTTGTGTGGACAGGTATTTTTCATTTTCTTTCTTTCTTTTTTTTTTTTTTTTGGTATTTTTCATTTTCATTGGCAGATTCCTAGGAGTGGAAATATTGGGTCATGTTATATGGTGAATTTATGTTTAACATTTTAAGAAACTTTAAAGCTGCTTGGAACATGGGCTGCACCATTTTCCATTTCCAGCAGCAATGTATGAATGTTCCAGCTTTGCCACATCCCTGGGAACAGTTAGAATTGCCTAATTCTAGCTATGCTTGTGGATGTGAAGGGGTGTCTTGTTGTGATGTTATTTTATTTTATTTTTAAAGATTTTATTTATTTATTCATGAAAGACACAGAGAGAGAGAGGCAGAGACATAGGCAGAGGGAGAAGCAGGCTCCACGCAGAGAGCCTGATTTGGGACTTGATTCCGGGACTCCAGGACCATGCCCTGGGCCAAAGGCAGACACTCAATTGCTGAGCCACCTAAGCGTCCCTTGTTGTGATTTTAATATGCAATTCATTAATAAATAATGATGGAGCATTTTAACATGTACTCACTTGATATCTGTTTATTTTCTTGGATTACGTATCTTTCAACTCCTTTTCTCACTTTCCTTATTGAGCCTTAATATACGCTGAAAACAAAGTCACCATCATGAGGTATGTGATTTACAAATCAGTTCTCTGAGTTTGTGGCTTGTCTTTTATTCTTTTCTAATGTCTTCGAAAGATGAGAATTTCTCTATTTTGATGAGTTTTATCTTTTTTTCTTTTATGAATCATGCTTTTGATGGTATACCTACAAAATCTTTACCTAGCACAAAAATACAAAACTTTTATCCAGTGTTTCCTCTAGATGTTTTACCTAGATGCTTTAAGTTGTATATTCAAGTCTATAATCTATTTTGAGTTAATTCTTTATCTTGTGAGATAAGTGTCTAAACTCATGTTTTTGCATGTAGATATCCGATGGTCCTAGTAACATTTGTTGAAAAAACTATTCTCTCCCCATTGATTTACCTTGGCACCTCTGTTAAAAATTAGCTAAATTGACTAAAATGCAAGAGTTTGTGTTTGGAGCACCAGCTGAGGGGAGGGGGCCGGTAATGGGAGAAGCAGACTCCCCACTGAGCAGGGAGCCCAATACCGGGCTAGATCCTAGTACCCTAGGATCATGACCTTAGCTGAAGGCAGATGCTTAACTGACTGAGCCACTCAGGTGCCCTGCAAATGTTTTTCTTAGATAATCTCAGCTCCCTGTGCAGGTATTGTCACTAAAATTACTGGTGACATGATAATCACTTTACACCATGGACATGAGATCATAGAATCCCGAAACTTTATCGTAGGTTCAGATGCTCCTTTCCACATTAGCACAGAAGCTTCCCTAACACCTAACTGTCCTGATTCCAAATGTTATTTGGTAAGGTTTTTTTTTTTTTTCAGTTAAGTTTCAGGTTCATAGGAGAATTATATCACAGAAAATCCACAAACATAAAGTGCTTGCTTTCTTTCTCTCATGTTTTATGGGTTGAAACACAAATATATTTTTGCATATAGTGGGAAATGATGTTTCCTGAGAACACATGATGCATACTATCCCTTTACCCACCATCTTTACAGCTGTCTGGCATCTCTCTTCTCTCCTCAAGTTACAGCTTCTGTGAAATCTTTCATTTCTCTCTAAGGATGCTGAATGTCACAGAATTACTCTAAAGACTGCAGATATGTGCCCAGCAGGTAGATAAAGACACTGAATTCCAATCTCTGAGTAGTTGCCTGGGGCCTGTGTGACAGAAACTATCACTTGTAGTTACTATTGTTATATTTTGTTTGAGCTTGTTGTACTAAATGCATCTATGATGATATAGGTCTAAATGTTGTCATCAGTAAAAGAGTGTTAGTATTTATCTTCTGTTTAGAGAACTAAAAGACTAATCTCATTCCCTAGTCAAGAGAAATTATTATTTGAGGAACACCATGCCTAACCGTTGTAGGATGTGGGGCAGGAGCAGGGAGGGAGGAATAATCAGAGACTTCAATAATCTTCAAATAGTAGTATTACCCTGGTACATAAAGTCACCAGATGTTAAAAGTGCCTTGCTAGTCTCATACTGCTGTTAAGCTGTTGCTCTCTCTGCCCTCTAAGATGTGTATTTATCAAACTAAAAAGATAAGAACAAAAACAATAAAATAAAATTCTAACTGGAGAACTTGTTTGATGGGGAAATTCAGGTCCCCCTTTCTAAGACCAGGAGTCACTTAATTTGGATCCTCCTTTTGTTGCCCAACACCCTATGGTTATGGGAATATCATGATCTCTTATTGCTTTAGTATTTCTCAAGTCTTTAAGGGCTGGAATAATCAGTAACCACAGATTTAAAGGATTCTGATGTGGGGTTTTATATAAGCAAATTTTATTAATTCCCACACTGTGTCTTCTTACCTAAGTGTTTTAGGTTTAAATATATTTTTTAAAAAGATCAAATTTATTTTATGATGTCTCTTTCAAAAGATCTTAAATCTTTCCCTTTTTGTTAGTTTATTTCACTGTCCTAGATCTATTACATATTTTCTATTAGCAATAATCATGCCTTGGATAAACCTCATTGGCTATGATACTGCCACAGTGCAAAGCTTATTACATATTTTCTTAAGTAGGCCCCATGCCCAGCATGGAGCCCAACATGCAGCTTGAGCTCACAATCCCAAGATCAAGACCTGAGCTGAGATCAGGAGTCGAATGCTTAACTGACTGAGCCACTCAGGCTCTATTACATATTTTTATTCAATTAATTATGCCCCAAGTTCTCTCTTCAATATTAAGTGGTGTTTAAAAATTTACAAAATTTAAATTTAAAAACTATACATTTCACTGTGAAGTTTTTAGGAAATCAACTTCTTTATAAATTTCAAGTGGATATCCACTGGGATACCACTCCTCTGCCCCTGTCCACTTTTCTAGCCCAGACAGGTGACCCTGCTTCACCAGCTGAGGATCCTTTTACACCAACTGACATTCAGTCACTAAGATCTCTCTTAAGTCACATCGGCTAATTTATAGTTGAGTTCGCCTTCTACATTCTCTTATGGAACATGCTAATCCGTGCCCAACAACTATGATTGATCATTACTAGTAAGATATGTTTTCCTCCTATTCATCCCACAGGATTGTCTTTTCACTAGTCCACTAGTTTGCTTACCAAGAATGAGGTGTCCCCCATACTTAAATACAAACTGTTCACTTTATTTTAGTTACTGAAATATGTTTGAAGCATAGTTAGTTTATAAAGCATTTAATTTACTTTTTTAATAAATTAATTTTTATTGGTGTTCAATTTACCAACATACAGAATAACACCCAGTGCTCATCCCATCATGTGTCCCCCTCAGTGCCCGTCACCCATTCACCCCCACCCCCCGCCCTCCTCCCCTTCCACCACCCCTAGTTCGTTTCCCAGAGTTAGGAGTCTTTATGTTCTGTCTCCCTTTCTGATATTTCCCACACATTTCTTCTCCCTTCCCTTATATTCCCTTTCACTATTATTCATATTCCCCAAATGAATGAGAACATACACTGTTTGTCCTTCTCCGATTGACTTACTTCACTCAGCATAATACCCTCCAGTTCCATCCACGTTGAAGCAAATGGTGGGTATTTCTCGTTTCTAATGGCTGAGTAATATTCCATTGTATACAGAAACCACATCTTCTTTATCCATTCATCTTTCGATGGACACCGAGGCTCCTTCCACAGTTTGGCTACTGTGGACATTGCTGCTAGAAACATCGGGGTGCAGGTGTCCCGGCGTCTCATTGCATCTGAATCTTTGGGGTAAATCCCTAACAGTGCAATTGCTGGGTCGTAGGGCAGGTCTATTTTTAACTCTTTGAGGAACCTCCACACAGTTTTCCAGAGTGGCTGCACCAGTTCACATTCCCACCAACAGTGCAGGAGGGTTCCCTTTTCTCCGCATCCTCTCCAACATTTGTGGTTTCCTGCCTTTTGAATTTTCCCCATTCTCACTGGTGTGAGGTGGTATCTCATTGTGGTTTTGATTTGTATTTCCCTGATGGCAAGTGATGCAGAGCATTTTCTCATGTGCATGTTGTCCATGTCTATGTCTTCCTCTGTGAGATTTCTGTTCATGTCTTTTGCCCATTTCATGATTGGATTGTTTGTTTCTTTGCTGTTGAGTTTAAGAAGTTCTTTATAGATTTTGGAAACTAGCCCTTTATCTGATATGTTATTTGCAAATATCTTCTCCCATTCTGTAGGTTGTCTTTTAGTTTTGTTGACTGTATCCTTTGCTGTGCAAAAGCTTCTTATCTTGATGAAGTCCCAATAGTTCATTTTTGCTTTTGTTTCTTTTGCTTTCGTGGATGTATCTTGCAAGAAGTTACTGTGGCCAAGTTCAAAAAGGGTGTTGCCTGTGTTATCCTCTAGGATTTTGATGGAATCTTGTCTCACATTTAGATCTTTCATCCATTTTGAGTTTATCTTTGTGTATGGTGCAAGAGAGTGGTCTAGTTTCATTCTTCTGCATGTGGATGTTCAATTTTCCCAGCACCATTTATTGAAGAGACTGTCTTTCTTCCAGTGGATAGTCTTTCCTCCTTTGTCGAATATTAGTTGACCATAAAGTTCAGGGTCCACTTCTGGGTTCTCTATTCTGTTGCATTGATCTATGTGTCTGTTTTTGTGCCAGTACCACACTGTCTTGATGACCACAGCTTTGTAGTACAACCTGAACAACCTGAAATCTGGCATTGTGATGCCCCCAGATATGGTTTTCTTTTTTAAAATTCCCCTGGCTATTCTGGGTCTTTTCTGATTCCACACAAATCTTAAAATAATTTGTTCTAACTCTCTGAAGAAAGTCCATGGTATTTTGATAGGGATTGCATTAAACGTGTAAATTGCCCTGGGTAACATTGACATTTTCACAATATTAATTCTTCCAATCCATGAGCATGGAATATTTTTCCATCTCTTTGTGTCTTCCTCAATTTCTTTCAGAAGTGTTCTATAGTTTTTAGGGTATAGATCCTTTACCTCTTTGGTTAGGTTTATGCCTAGGTATCTTATGCTTTTGGGTGCAATTGTAAATGGGATTGACTCCTTAATTTCTCTTTCTTCAGTCTCATTGTTAGTGTATAGAAATGCCATTGATTTCTGGGCATTGATTTTGTATCCTGCCATGCTACCAAATTGCTGTATGAGTTCTAGCAATCTTGGGGTGGAGGCTTTTGGGTTTTCTATGTAGAGTATCATGTCATCGGCGAAGAGGGAGAGTTTGACTTCTTCTGCCAATTTGAATACCTTTAATGTCTTTTTGTTGTCTGATTGCTGAGGCTAGGACTTCCAATACTATGTTGAATAGCAGTGGTGAGAGTGGACATCCCTGTCTTGTTCCTGATCTTAGGGGAAAGGCTCCCAGTGCTTCCCCATTGAGAATGATATTAGCTGTGGGCTTTTCATAGATGGCTTTTAAGATGTCGAGGAAAGTTCCCTCTATCCCTACACTCTGAAGAGTTTTGATCAGGAATGGATGCTGTATTTTGTCAAATGCTTTCTCTGCATCTAATGAGAGGATCATATGGTTCTTGGTTTTTTTCTTGCTGATATGATGAATCACATTGATTGTTTTACGAGTGCTGAACCAGCCTTGTGTCCCGGGGATAAATACTACTTGGTCATGGTGAATAATTTTCTTAATGTGTTGTTGGACCCTATTGGCTAGTATCTTGTTGAGCATTTTTGCATCCATGTTCATCAGGGATATTGGTCTGTAATTCTCCTTTTTGGTGGGGTCTTTGTCTGGTTTTGGAATTAAGGTGATGCTGGCCTCATAGAACGAATTTGGAAGTACTCCATCTCTTTCTATCTTTCCAAACAGCTTTAGTAGAACAGGTATGATTTCTTCTTTAAACGTTTGATAGAATTCCCCTGGGAAGCCATCTGGCCCTGGATTCTTGTGTCTTGGGAGGTTTTTGACGACTGCTTCAATTTCCTCCCTGGTTATTGGCCTGTTCAGGTTTTCTATTTCTTCCTGTTCCAGTTTTGGTAGTTTGTGGCTTTCCAGGAATGCGTCCATTTCTTCTAGATTGCCTAATTTATTGGCGTATAGCTGTTCATAATATGTTTTTAAAATCGTTTGTATTTCCTTGGTGTTGGTAGTGATCTCTCCTTTCTCATTCATGATTTTATTAATTTGAGTCTTCTCTCTTCTTTTTAATAAGGTTGGCTAATGGTTTATCTATCTTATTAATTCTTTCAAAGAACCAACTCCTGGATCTATTGATCTGTTCCACAGTTCTTCTGGTCTCAATTTCATTGAGTTCTGCTCGAATTTTAATTAACTCTCTTCTTCTGCTGGGTGTCGGGTCCATTTGCTGTTTTTTCTCTAGCTCCTTTATGTGTAAGGTTAGCTTTTATATTTGAGTTCTTTCCAGTTTTTGAATGGATGCTTGTATTGCGATGTATTTCCCCCTCAGGACTGCTTTTGCTGCATCCCAAAGATTTTGAACAGTTGTATCTTCATTCTCATTAGTTTCCATGAATCTTTTTAATTCTTCCTTAATTTCCTGGTTGACCCTTTCATCTTTTAGCAGGATGGTCCTTAACCTCCACGTGTTTGGGATCCCTGGGTGGCGCAGCGGTTTGGCGCCTGCCTTTGGCCCAGGGCGCGATCCTGGAGACCCGGGATCGAATCCCACGTCGGGCTCCCGGTGCATGGAGCCTGCTTCTCCCTCTGCCTGTGTCTCTGCCTCTCTCTCTCTCATTCTATGTGACTATCATAAATAAATAAAAATTAAAAAAAGAAAACCTCCACGTGTTTGAGGTCCTTCCAAACTTCTTGTTGTGATTTAGTTCTAATTTCAAGGTGTTATGGTCTGAGAATATGCAGGGGACGATCCCAATCTTTTGGTATCAGTTCAGACCCGATTTGTGACCCAGTATGTGGTCTATTCTGGAGAAAGTTCCATGTGCACTTGAGAAGAATGTGTATTCAGTTGAGTTTGGATGTAAAGTTCTGTAGATATCTGTGAAATCTATCTGGTCCAGTGTATCATTTAAAGCTCTCGTTTCTTTGGAGATGTTGTGCTTAGAAGACCTATCGAGGGTAGAAAGAGCTAGATTGAAGTCACCAAGTATAAGTGTATTATTATCTAAGTATTTCTTCACTTTGGTTAATAATTCATTTAAGTATTTGGCAGCTCCCACATTCGGGGCATATATATTGAGGATTGTTAAGTCCTCTTGTTGGATAGATCCTTTAAGTATGATATAGTGTCCCTCTTCATCTCTCACTACAGTCTTCAGGGTAAATTTTAGTTTATCTGATATAAGGATGACTACCCCTGCTTTCTTTTGAGAACCATTTGAATGGTAAATGGTTCTCCAACCTTTTATTTTCAGGTTGTAGGTGTCCTTCTGTCTAAAATGAGTCTCTTGTGGACAGCAAATAGATGGGTCCTGCTTTTTTATCCAGTCTGAAACCCTGCGCCTTTTGATGGGGTCATTAAGCCCGTTCACGTTCAGAGTTACTATTGACAGATATGAGTTTAGTGTCATCATGATATCTATTTAGTCCTTGTTTTTGTGGATTGTTCCACTGAACTTCTTCTTAAAGGG